TGGTCATGTTCTCAAAGCGATTAATAATTTTTTTAGACCCTCACTTCCGAGAGTATTATGTTTGCAATATAAGTAAGTAAATTTTAATTACACTCGAAGTACACTACACATTTCCAGTTCCTCAAATTCTCAAAACAACTTTCTTCGGATGAAGCCTGATTCGGACGTTCTACCTCATCTTTCGCACTAACCAGACCTTGCCCCATCCGATTAATTCTTATTTCTCTAGTTAAAAAACTCATTTCGAAATGTCACAAATCCGAAAGCGAAATAAAAATTCACCTCGATGAATATTTTGAAAGTAAGTCTCAACAATTTAGAAAAAGGGCATAATGAGGCTTTTTAAGAGATCGAAGATGGTAATTATTTTAGTAAATCAACTTTAAACAACAAATTTCATAGATTGATTACGCATAAAAAAAGGAAGAATTATCTTATGTCTTAATGTGAAATCATTATATATAGACTGTGAGATGTTTACATGTTTTTGTAATTGAAGTTTTTATAATAACAAGACTACCATAGTGAATGCATGGTTGCGATGAACTCACGTCAGAAGCGCAGTGGAGGGGAGTTGAGGGCATACAAGAAACAAGTTTATAAAAGGAGACCAAAAAAAAAAATAAACATTTTTGTTGAACGTTGAGAGATAAACCAAAGGATGATGTATAAGAGAAATGGGAGGTAAAATTGGTTTAAAATATTGAGAGCAAATGGTAGGCAAACGTCAAAGCATGGAGAGAATGATTTCATTCGGAGAGAGAGCAAACCAGAAAAAGGCAATGATAGAAGAGCAAGAGCACTTGGAGATGAGATTTCTAGGGTTTCTGGTTGGGATGGCGTGGTGTTCTTATACCGTCTGGATAAGTTAATATTCATTTCTAGATGGTTTCGAGAAATGATTTCTGACACTCTCGCTATGGTTAGTACAATAATATTTGCTAACGATCGGGAAATGACTGTGAGTACCAAGGCTCCAATCGATACAGTTGGTAAAAGAAAAATAGTACGGAAACAGCGAACAAAAGAACTGAGGTAAAAGAAAAAAATCGTAAAAAATAATGAAACTCAAGGTTGAATAACCGATTATAAAGGTTTAGAAGATGAGAGTCAGAGAAGAAATCGTTTAGGTAATAGTTTTAGCAGCATTTTGTTGACATATTTTTTTTATAAATAAAAGATTTATTTTAGTAACTAATTAATTGCAATACATTCCAGGCTACATAAAAACAAATACGAAGAACAGGTCTAAAAATAGTTTATTGGAATTGTTTTTACTGAAAACTAAGGTACTTTGCGGAGACACAATTTTCTATTACACAATTTTTTTACAAACATGGTGGCGAATCTCAGCTTATTATGTAAAAATCATCAGCTTGATTAATGCTGATTTAATGCTAATTAAACAAGGATTTTTTTTTTGAAGTAAGAGATATATAACACAGTTTATTTGTATAATGTTATAAAAGAAAATTTACTCTTATTTACGATGCTACGATAGGTAATTAATTAATTAAATAGGTTTTTATTTTCTCCTTCCTAACCAACAGAAAACTTATCTTAATAAAAAAAAACTTAAATTTCCTATTTTTCTGTGTGGTATTGGACCATGGTGTATGGTTTAAACCAATATTTTTGTTGCTCTACAGGTCTAGTACTACATCTTAAAATATTTCCGAATTTTTGTGGGATACCCGTCGTATAATGAATAATGAATAATAATGAAATCACCTTTTAACAGGCATTTTTCTAAATAGATTTTATGAACAAAATTGTTGTCGTAATAAAAGAATTTTGACAGTTTGGAAAGTTCTTACTGAATTTTTTATCAACACTATATTTTTAATAATAATAATAATAATATATTTCGGTGATATAAAAATGTTTTTTTTTTCTCCTACTCCTTTGAAAACTTTTTTATCCTATGCCTTGATCCTCCTGAACCTTTTCGCTCATGTGACGTCTATCAGATCTGTACAATTCGCCCTCAGTACTTAACACCCTAGGTGGTCACTAGATGTCGTAGATCCTTGTTAACACAATGGGCTTTTTTATCGTAGAGGTGTCTTAGGTTATGGTCATGTCCAGTATCCTTCCGAAATTGTGAAACGGCTTAATTTCTAGGGAGATCTAGTGGATTTCGACCCTTTTTGTCAAGTAACGAAGCTCATAGCTTCAACTCCAATTTTTATTTTCGTTCTAACCCTCCCAGGATTAATGATTTAGTTAACATTTTTACCGTCGAGAAATGTATTGGCATATGATTCTTGTTGCCCGAATTAAAAGGTACGGATCCAAGCACAGGCGGATCTAAGGGGGGAGGGGAGGGGGGCTTCCGGGCCGAAGCCCCTAAAAATGGTAAAATATAACCATGTTTTATAGAAAAAATATTAAAAATTTTCTCTTAAAGTAGTATTTTTCGTGTAATTACATTTAATAGGACTTCAAGAATCACTTAAACACCATATAATATAGGTAGTTAGTTTCTTTCTTTTTTTCCAATTTAATTATCATTATATATATATATATATGAAAAAAAAAAGCTTTCGGGCTGAAGTCTCCTCTCCTAAATTAAATCCTGGATCCGCTAGTGGATTCAAGAGTCTTCATTAGGTCATCAACCTTGCGGAAGGTCTTATATTACCTATCTAATTTATAAGAAAGACGATCCAATATCAATGCTCTTGATTAAATCGTAGATATCATCGTTTTTTTTAATTGCCATAAAAATCATAATACATAAAAATAATGCCTGAATTGAAATTATTTGGTGTAGTTTTTTTTTTTTTAGGTTTTATTAATTTTTTTAATTAATGAACTTCAATTTCATAGATATTATACGGTGAGTATAGTGAAGCAAAAAAAAAAAAAAATCTAAATACAACTGTTAAAAATATTAGTTAAAATATCACATTTACTATTGCAGATCGATATTAGTGTGGATAGTGTAACAGTTAAGTTGGATTTTAGACTTATATTAACCTATATTATCGTGTTCTACATTCCATTAAACCAAAGCTAACAAAACTAGGATAGATCAAATATTCATATTTTCGGATCAATAAATCGATATTAGAGCCATTGCCAAAGTCATCGGTTATTTTAAATCATTCTCTAAGTAGATTCGAAATTTCTCTCATTCTCTCAGAAAATGGTAATATTTTCCTTTAATTCAAAAACTTGAAACTATTCTGCCTTCAGCGAAACATTAAGAAAGGCTGGAGAGACGGCCAAGGTTGGCTGCATCTGTTGCACCGTTAAGAAGAATTGGCTACCCGTAACCGCTATCATAACTTCAGCTATTTTTATTTAAACAGGTAGAATGTACTGGCATTCCTTTTACATCTACATTCAAAAAATTATTTTTATAGGAAGTGAATGAAACATATTTGAACATATTCAGATTCATATGTACGTTCAAATTGTAAAATAGCTGTAATGTAAAAATAACCCTGATCAGAAAGACAAAAATTCGTCTGCTGTGGAAAGGTATAAATATATATATATATATATATATATATATATATATATATATATATATATATATATATATATATATATATATATATATATATATATATACTATCACCATTATCAATGTATTTAAGTTGATATAATCATAAGCAAATGTTTTATATGATGAATTTGAATGTTATTTTTTTTTTAAATACATTTTTTTTTTAACTTTTACAAACAAATATAATTATTCTATATTACATATTTTATGATAATGTTTAATTCACTCAACTCAGAAAGAGTAAAAATAGTTTAACTATATAATTTATTCTGTAACTCATGACACAACTATTCTGTCACTATTTATTATAAAATAAGTGTTAGTAAAATTGTGGAAACATTTATCGATGGCAGTAAAATGTTTTGAAAGGAATATGGTCCTCAGACAACGTGAACGTTATTGTGCTATAGCGAATACTATGTACTTTGCCGGTCTGGAATATAAATTATATGGATAGAAATTCTTTATTGTTCAATACACATGAATAGAAACGAGTATAAACTTTCCTATTGACGGCATCTACCAACCCCTGAATTATAAAATATTTTAAGTATAGCTTCCGTTAGTACTATTACGGGTACCTTTCTTGTAAAATGGAAAAAATATTACATCAGTCACATAAAACTTATTTATACTAAAACAAAATGTTTCGACTGAATGATTGATACTTTAGTGGTTATGCATTTATCATCTTATTCAAAATTTTATTTCTCAAACCTACACGAATAGTAAAAGAGAAATCAAACAGAGAAAAATTTTAATTTAAAAGAATTTGACAAAACATTTCATAGAAAATATGGATGAATAATTTCAACCTAAAAACTTACTTTTCTGCACCATACCACATTATTATTCATGTCTTGGAATAAATGTCTAATATATATATATATCCTTAATACTTATTGATCTTCAATGTGGCAGATTGTATTATTTACTATTCAATAAAAATAAATTAAAAAAAAAAAAAAAAAATATATATATATATATATATATATATATATATATAAAACTAGCCTAGAGGTGACAGTTTGAAACTCTACGGTTTATCAAGATTATGATCCAACAAAAGAAAATGGGAAAGTCTAGGAGGAAATGCGGAATGACCATTCAAGCATAAATACCGTTCATAATCTTGCTGGAAACTATTTTACATTTTATTTTATTTTTTGTTTTACTTTCCTAAATATATACGTTTTCTCATTCCGTTATGAAACATTCGAAAAATATTTGATTATAAGACTAAATACTAAATAATAGCAGACTCAATGCTTATTTTCACAAATATAAAAATTAAAGGGAAGAGAGAGTAGTTTATACAACAATAATATAACTCTTTGATATTTTATATGCTATGATGAGATTATATTATTTTTGGTACAAAAAATCAGTGATCAGCTAAAATAAATGAAAAAAAGCTGTTAATGTTTTTTTTTTCTTTTTTTGTGAAAGGTTAAGAATAATAAAGTTAAATTAAATGTCTCACCCTTGCTCCAATCTGGTTACCACACTGGCCCGCTTGAAGGTGCACAATTTCCCTCATGTCGTTTACTCAAGAGCTGTTCCAGGAATGGCCCGGCTTTAAGAAGGCAAAGGGAGGAGTATTTCCTTCCCTGGGTGGGGGGAGGGGGATAATTCCTTCGTTAGTCGTGGTTGGCAGCACTTTCTGTCTTCACTCTCTAAATAGTTTATTGTCCCAATCGATAGAATAGGGATTACTAGCAAGATTTCATTTTTGCGAATGAATTATACTAACAAAAATATAATAGTTGCAAATAATTGACTAAAAGCAACAAAAAAAAAATTATGTCGGAAAAAATAAATATAAAACCATCTTTCTTTTCCTCAAATTTAGTATTGTTAATCTCGAACTTTCCTCCCTTTATTCTTTATGGGAGGAAAACAGTGGTCAAATATATGCAAGCTTTCACTAACTGATCGAGGATTTAATTTTTAGAAGTTCTTCAGCCTGAAAGCTTTTTTTTTTTTTCATATAAATAAATATGTACAATTACTTTGGAAAAAAAAGAAAGAAACTCTACATGAAATGATGTTTATGTGATTCTTGAAGTGCTATGAAATGAAATTACACGAACAATAATACTTTAAGAGATAATTGTTTTTATATTTTTTTCCATAATCATGGTAATATTTTACCATTTGGGGAGAGGCTTCAGCCAGAAACCCCATCCCCTCCGTAGATACGCCTGTGAATGCTTAAGCTTTACTTGACCTATGACAATATATTTCTAGCAATCATATTTTGACTAATAGATATAAGTGTAATAGTTAATATAATGTCTTACAATTAGTATAACAGATTCCATCTTCTCGAGAGGACTATTAAAATTTAATAAATAACAGTTTTTTTCTCTATATATCCATGCAAATATCAGGGATTTGTAAGGTAAGCTGATGGCTTATTGAAAATAGTTTTTTTAAGTAATATACCTTACGGACGTTCATTCAAGGCACTTCATTTAATGATGTTGATTTATCGTTAAATAACTTCTTATTTTAATCCATCTAAATTTAAAATTTATTTTTATGGAATATAATTATAAAATTCCGAAATAGCTGATTTTAAAATGTTCCATTATTATTACCATACATACCGATCCAAAGGTTATTGCAAGATGGATTTTAAATTGTAATTTTTTTAATAAAGGGGTGTGATTTGTATCTCATATAAAATAAATATATTTTACGTTCTAATGATTGATTCATCTCAATGATAGATTTAGTAAATCAGAGGATTTGTTCGTTAATTTTATTGTTTGACTCCTTAAATATGTTCTCCAATCCAATCGAAGCCTTCTTCAAACATTGTGTAATGAATCTTAATCCAATTGATTGATGTACCGTAAAACTATAGTATTTATTTGTATGGCATAATCATAAACGTGTTGAATTACAGACCTGCTGTTGAATGAAACTCTATGAAACTAGAAGTTATTTTTCTATCAAACAAAAAGTTGTTTCCGAAAATCATCAACGAAAATGCGATTCTAATTTTAAATCAATGTTACCCCCAAGATGTAAAGTTACCCAATTAAACGTTAGTTCATTAAATTCATTTACAATAACAGCACAATCTGCCTAATTATTTTGTAATATTTTAATAAAGATATTCAAAACTAATGAAAAATAATATCCAGATAATATTAACTATCTATTTAATTAGGATTTAGAAGGCGAAATGTTTTCAAACTAAAACATTAAATTAATTCTTTGACTTGGACCGACTAAGATACTCCTCCTTTAATTCCAAACTCCTTGGTCACCCTAACCCTCTAATTCATAACCTATCATCCAAAACAATTCCTGACAATCCTCCGAGGTGTCTGAAAAGAAGATGGCCAAGGGACCTTCTTAATTAATTTAATTTTTGAAAGTACTACCAATGGGTAGTTTCTTTACAAGTTTTTATCATGTTTTATTTATCATTTTAGCAGATTTACTTATTGTATATGAATACAGTTGTAAACATAAAAAAAAATTAATAATTCTTTAAATAGTGTATTATTATATGTTATAATAACATAATATGGGTCCATGGGAAAAACAAGAAGGAACAAAATCAGAAATACAACGACAAGAAGGAACAAAATCAGAAATACAACGACAAGAACCAATCTTGGAGTAAAACTAGCGGAAAATAGACTATGCTGGTTTGGATATGTCAAGATACTGCAGGGAAAATGTCCAAAATCTTGTATGAAGTGAGAGAGGACGAAAGAATGTCAACAGGAAGGCCCAGAAAGACCAAGGAAGGATTAGTCAGAGGGGATTTCCATAGCAGAGGGATGAACTGGAATAGACGCAGTCAGCTTGCACAAGGAGGGGTTTCCATCCCCCTCCCAAGGTCGATGGTGCAAGCATTTACCCCCTCCCCTTTCCAAGATATTTTATTGCTCTCCTGTTCTTAAAGTAAAATTTAAAATATCGTAGTTACATTTAAAACAACGGTCTGTTCCGTGTTATTCTTTTGTCCTTAGTTTGCAAATTTTCATTCCAAAAAGTAGATGACCCTGCCGAAATGTACCCCTTCGAAAATTGAATATCCTGTCAAAATGTGACCCCCTCAAAAATTTTGAAGTCATACCCCCTTCTGCCCCCCCCCCCCCCCCCTCGAGTACAAGAACGAAATAAATGCATCTATAAACAGGATCCTCTACACTGATTTACGGTGGAAGAAAAATCGATTAAGTAGAAGAAGAATAACATAATATACTATGAAGAATACTTAAACTTTAAAATATCCCGGAACAAATACTCAATGTTCAATTTTTAATCTATTTATTGAATAATAATACAATCAGCCACTGCTGGAGGGCTATAAGCATTAGAACTAAAAGTTCTCATTCATACAATATATACAAATAATAAAGAAATAAGTACAAATATAAGAAGTAAATAAATAATACTGATGAAGAAGGTAAATAAAAAGAAAAAAAATAAGCAAATAAAATAAAATAAAAACTTCTAAACACAATCATAACTATATACAATATATACATTCGCCCAAGAATCTCCGAGCCAGGCTTTTTCTCCCACATGTGGATGGCAAAGCAAGACCCCGGAAGATCCCAGTGCCACTTTTCCAGCAGCATCACTAGTATTAGAAGCCAGTGGAGACTGAAAGATGGCACTAGAGTGACAGACGCTCAGGACATGAGTGGAGAAGCTGGCCATTGCCAGGACCCCAAAGGCATATTTACAAAAGATCTCGAGGCCACTGCCGTTTCAACCTTCGAGGGGGATGGTATGGATGCTCGGAGCTGGATAGGGATTGCGCTAGAGAATTGGGATGATGAATGAGGTTCTGGTGAAAGTTGGAGAATCCGGATGGGATGATGTCATGAACATATGGGATGTTAAGGTCATGGTGTAGGGTCTTGTTCGTGACATAATATGGAGCATTGACTATTGTTCGAAAGACTTTGGACTGGAAGGATTGGATGCGTTTGATATTCGATAATTTAGTTGTCCCCCACAGTTCAAGTCCGTAAGCCCAGTTAGGTTTCAGTATGGTCTTGTAGATTAATAATTTGTTTTCTGTTGAGAGATGAGATGTTCTGTTTAGTAGTCTATATAGCTGACCAAATCGTCGGTTAAGCTCTTGTCTTTTAAGTCTCGTATGTGGCTTCCAAGTTAGTCTTTTGTCTAGAAGGAAGCCAAGGTATCGGACTGTGTCTGAGTAGGAAAGAGGAATTGAATTAAAAAGGATACAGGAATCCTCAATGTTATCCACGAGCAATGCTTCTCAAGTCCGAGTAGCATATCTTCTGAAATATCAAGTTGCTCAAGCTCATTTTTTTCTGAATAAAATTATATTTCATTGCACGGTGAATTAACATGTGATATATAGTAGGTCATCGAACACCTTGTATACAATCTCTTCTCTATAAAAAATACATAAAAAAATTATTTAACCACTATGAAGAAATATCACGTTTTCATATTTTAAAAACATGTAGATTATCAACAAAATGCAGTTTATTTCCATATTGGTTTATATTTTGGAGCGGTGTAGCTCAGCGGGTGATCACTGACTTCCAGAGCTCTAGGTCCCAGGTTCGAATCCGGCTGATGTGTAGTAATTTTTCTATCAGCCGTGGTTCGACTCTGAGGCCAGGAGACCCTACTGGGGCACAACCTGCTTCTGTAAAGTGGGTACTCTTAAATTAATTATTGGGGAAAACCTGGCGGTTAAGCGTGAAAACGGCTTAATCACCTCCCATCACAACCCTTGGCCTTGTAACAGTACTTCCTCACATTCCTCAATGAACGCAAGACCCTTCGGGGATTGTTAGTGGTACAAGTATTATTTTTTGTTTACTATCAAATTTATTAAGGTAGAGGGAAATCATTTTTTAAGTGGTGTACACCTCTCAACTTTTTAATCTGGCCCTGGTTACATTTGTAGTTTTAGCTTGAATGTATATGTCGGTAATGTCTTTTTCTGTAAGAAATCTTATCAAATCACCAATGACCCTCTGGTAACGTGACGTGCAATGAGAAGGTAATTGTGAGGACATTTTCACCGACTGTTTTCTAAATATCAGCTCTCCTGAGCAAAGTCAATATCATTTCAAAAGTCAATATTATTTTAAAATTCCAAATTTTCAGAACTTGTAGTAGCCTTTATAAAACAGATACAAAAATCGGAACTAACCAAGGATTGGAAAATATGATGGATTTATTCGTGACAATTGCACATAGAAAAACCCTACTGTTCACAAAAATACGGTAATTTTATTGATATCAAGGTGCTTAATAAGACATTGATTGAACATGTTTTTTTCGTTGTTTTTTAATGTGCTTAGACAAACAGCTTCACCATAAAAAATTTCCGAGCTTTTAGATTACTTATATTTCCTATGTTAAAATAATAAAACCTCAAGATAAGATATGATTAATTCTAATAAAAACGAATGAGGGCCAGGATGTTAATAATGTTTGAGTGAGGTATTATATCCATAGAAGTATTTGACGAACGCTCTTGATAATTTGATAAGGAATGTTGTAGCCTAGAGCTATATAAACAAATTAAATATTTTCCGAAATTGTATGAGCGGATAA